CTGTTCGATGATAAAAACTTGTTAATTTGATGTTCTTTGCGCCTATCAATTTGAAGTTTTTTGGATTGTGCAGATTTTTGAGTTTTCCTTAGTGAAATAAATTTTGAAGGTCAATCTCATCGATATATTCATCGCAGATGCTTGCAAATAAGATATTTGTATGGATCATGATTCAAAAATTTTCTGCTGGAATAACCGGGTACCTCTAATTGGATGCGTTTCAGGAAAATAGAACAGAGGAACAATTAAACGCAAAGTCAGCATTACCGGAACCTATCCAAGAGATAATGCAAATGATTTTCGACATGTCAGCTCTCAATGAGGCTCTTCGGGAATTCGAGGTTCCATTTCTTTAGTTTTCCAGTTATTGATCCCTTCGACTACTGAAGAAATTTAATAACTCTGATTTAGTTTTTTCCTGTGCACGTTGAAGAATTGATAAGGACGTCATTTGTGAAGATAGAAGGGATAATAAGGTCAATAGCTCGCTGATTTTTCTCCCGACAGTCAACGTTGTGTTGGAGATAATCATAATAACGGAGATAATTCAACTGGAACTGAAAACGCGTGTAACTGTCATAAATGTGAAGATAATATATGAGTATTTAGATCGATTTGGATAAGATGCCGTTAGGACGATTGTCGAAACGACAAATAGACGATGCGTACAAGGTGTTGAGCGAACTCCAGAATGTAAGGTTTTCATGTGATACACCTACTGGTTATTTAATTGTTTGTCATTGTGATCCTTTTTGTCGTATTTTGATGNATCTGGAGATGCTACAAGTGACCATTATTTGGATGCTACTAATCGTTTCTACACTTATGTCCCACAAAACTTCGGTATGGTTGCGCCACCGATATTGAATACAAAAGAGAAAATAACGGTCAGTACTTATGGTTGTTGTTATTTTAATAACTAATGGTGTTTTCCGTATTTTTGAATGACAGAGTGATTGCTATAATCAGATTCAGTTCACTGACTGGGAACCATTAATTATTCTCATGTTTTTTGATATGAAGGTTCGGTGATCACGTTCAACAAAATATCTCTAAATTCTTTGCTTAATTATGCAACTTCATTATTCCTTCACATCCTATTTACCTCTTGTTTATTAGCATCAATTTTCAGGAGAAGAGCAAGTTGTTGGATGAGTTAGCAGAGATTGCAATCGCGTACAGTTTGATGAAGTCAGATTTCGTGGAGGGTGGCGATGCAACGAAAAGTCAACTCGATTTATATTATGAAAAGTTACATGCAGAGATGGAGGTGAGTGATGCGTTTGAATTCGGATATTACGATGTCTATAACTGCTCATGTTTCGGGAATAAATTATTGATCAGTTTCAGTTTAGAATAGTTTGGAGGTAATGTTGAAATTCTAATAGAACATTGCTGAGTTTCCTTAATTTTGACGACTTTGAACTGTTCATCGGATTAGATATACTCTTGAGGACTTTAGAAGTGAAAGAGTGGTAATTTCGTCAGTAGTAGGAATAGTATCAAAAATGATCATTGCTGGTGGCGTAATATTGTAAACTTATCAAGTACATACTGTTCTATTTCAAGGTTGNTCAAGGTTGTTGATCACGAGAGTGAGGAATTCAAACGAATATCAGAATACGTAAAGAATACACATGCGCCTACGCATAATCAGTACAACCTGGAGATTATGGATGTATGTGTAGTTGTGCCCTTTCATGCGAATTCTCATTGTGTTTGGTTATGAATCATTCCGAAAACGCAGTTATCCATTCTCACTGTAATATCTTCTTCTCAATAACAACTTTTGAATCAGAGGTGTTCACGCAAAGATATGAGATTGTAATGAATTCTGCAGTTGATTCGTGTGCACCGTGAGGGTGAAAAGGAACGTTTCCGACGTGATCTCCATAATCGTCAACTTCTCTGGCACGGATCTCGTACTACCAACTATGCTGGTATCCTATCACAAGGTCTCAGAATCGCTCCCCCGGAGGCACCTGTCGTAGGTTTTTCGTTCGTGATTACAATTCTATTTCTTTGTTCATTACATTCGATTCACTGAATGTGTTTCGCTGATCAATATGTATGTGNATTACAATTCTATTTCTTTGTTCATTACATTCGATTCACTGAATGTGTTTCGCTGATCAATATGTATGTGAACCGCAGTGTCATGTTATTGACATTGCGTGTATAATGTTCATACCTTTGTTAGTACCTATTTTTGTTTAGAATTTGAAATTGGCAAGTTTTTTTTTTGGAAATAATATCTTCTTCAGCATTATGACGATTGATTGTCGACCGCAAGTTGGTGGTGTAATTTTGCAGGTTCTATTAGGAGTAATTTTGTCTTTCAGACTGGTTATATGTTCGGTAAAGGTGTATATTTTGCGGATATGGTCTCAAAATCAGCCAACTACTGCTATGCGATGAATAAAGAAGGTTTGCTGCTGCTCTGCGATGTGGCGTTGGGTGAGATGCAAGAAGAGACGCAGGCCAAGTGTATCACAAAACTGAAGAAAGGCAAACACAGTTGTAAAGGTACGATACTGTGGCCAACGAGCTATGTTTAATGAATGTTTTAGAAAATTCAAGGATTCCAGCGTTCCTTTCGTAATTGATACGATGACATTTTTTATTTATAAGAATACTATATTATGGGGTTATTGATGTGTAATTGTACTGCAGGCGTTGGTAGAACGATACCTGATCCGGAAGGTGCATACGTGACAGAGGAAGGCGTAACGATCCCAATGGGCAAACCGATCAAAACAAAGAGAAAGGATTTATCACTTCTGTATAATGAGTAAGAACCTTAATTGATTCTTTTGTTACTATTCAAGAATTTTCTCTTTCCTTACATCACTATATTCATGGAGGGAATCTAAGAAAAGATTTCATCTCGTTAATGACAGAGAACAATAAAACTTTGATTACATTTATTTATTATATATTCTTTGACACTGAAAGTGCACACAAATTCTCCTTTCGTTTTTAAGGGATCGAAATTGGAATTCAATGCGAAATTGTTTTTTCAGATACATTGTCTACGATGTTTCGCAAATTGAAATCAAATATTTGTTACGAGCCAAGTTCAAGCCAAAATTTTGAGAGATGTTCCTATCGTTGCCATTTATTTACTCAATCCATCGTCATCTCAAAAAATACTCGCATTTAATTTACCTCAAGTGTGTTACTGTCCATCTTTTAATTTCATTTTTTTTTTTGTACTATGGTGTGGTTTTTGTTCCAATTGGGGTTTTTTGGGATTGTTTTTGTAGTGTTTAAAGTTTTTAGTGTAAATTATATCATTTGGCAGCCTTGTAAAATATTGCCGTTCGAATTTTCTTTGTTGAAATAATGCACTTCATGTAATTATTATTCATTTGTTTTTCTTTCATTTTTAATTTCATTCATCATGTATCGTATTGTCTTCTTTTATTTCTCGTTCACGTTCATATGAAGGAGCAGTCAGTATCATTCCCTCTAATTATAAATGAAGTTCCGTTCGCTGATTCCTAGGATTGTTTGGTCATACATTTTGATGACTGAACATTTTCTTCATTCGGTTTCCAAAGTTCGGTCTTCAAAGCTTCATTGTT